AGAGACTCTTTGTATCATTTCTAATGGTTAGAAATAGAGATTTTGATAAAAAAAAATAACCTTCGACAGTTTCTCCTAGTTTGGCAAGATAGTAATCCTCTGTTCCGGATTTATCGCTAGCGAAAGCAAGAATGACTCTCTAGAGTGTGTACCAGATATAAAAAAGTTGTCGACGAGTGAAAAGATTTATTAAATGATTTTTATGCAAATGACTCCCCAAGTAATTATTTAGAGAGTAAGTTTTAGAAAGACTTCTAGAGATTCCAAAACATACTCCCAATCTAGATTTTTCCGGCAAGATTTAAAAAAAAAACTATTTCCAACAACTCCCTATCTTAACCCCCAATCTTTCCGCACTTGGGAAAACAATCCAATCGCGCGGATAAATACGTGCGCGTACCCTTCCGTCAATTTAAAGGTGAAAGGATGTGGGGAAGAATAAAATATAGGACATGGTTCCTGATTCAAATATATAAGAGAGAAATAAAATATAAAATTGCTTAGGATGATTTTAAAATAGTCCAGGATTTCTGATACAAAATTGTCTTCTATATATATTTTATGGTCTAGATTTTGAAATATATTGGAGGAACCCAACAAATATGCTCCCAACTCTTTTTTAGCCTCTTGAAAACTCATTGATATACCAATTGCTTTTTTGAACTGTTGAAGATGCTCTTTAGATGCCATCTTGGTCGTGTTCTTATTTTGGGCTCAAGCTTGCTCTCTCTCTCTCTTTTCATTTGGTAGTAGTCACGCCGTTGATTTCAAAATCTATTTTTCTTTTGCTAGAAATGATTTTTTCTTTGCAAATATAGTGTTTCTTTTATACTAAAATAAACAATTATCCACAGCCTTGAAAAATGTTCCATCATGATTAAAAAAGTTTATTTTAAAGGAAAAATATTCCACCTAGTTAAAGGCTTAACTATTTTATTCGCAGAAAAAGGCTCAACTATTTGTAATTGTATAAGTCAAAAATAAGATGTTCATTATGCCATTTTTAACTAGCACATGCCATAATTTAAATTATTGTAGGACATATTTTTTAAAAACCATTTTGGTAAAAAAAACTGTATTAAGATATTCTATCTACTCCCAAATCAATCAACTTCTAGAGTTGTCTTAAGTCAATCTTGATAAGTTTAACTAGCTTTATAGAAAGGAGCATCAATATTTACGACAACAAATTAACATTATGAAAAGAGTTCAATGCACCAGAGGTCCATTAACTTGTGAGGAGGTTTCGGTTAGGTCCATCAACTTCCAAAGTGGTTTTTTAGTCCATAAACTTTGTATGCCGTATCACTTAGGTTCATATCCTGCCACGCGGGCTTCTCATGCTGACGTGGCCTGCTGACATGTCCTTTTGAAGCAGCTCTTAGCAATGCATTTTGTCAAACAGCTTGTGGGCGAAGCGCCATCAAGCCGAAAAAGCGTCTTGATCTGCGGACGCCCAACCCAGCGCGCATCCTAAACCCGTGACCATGCCGCCGCCACGGAACCGTACATCCGGCCAATGTCTTAGCCCCACCTAGTCCGCTCCTCAGTCGCAGCGCGGTGACGACGTGGATCGCCTCCCCGAGGAGAGAAAAAGCATCGAGGCCGTGGACGAGTCGCCGCCACCAACGCCACACTTGGCTCCTGACGAACGCCGACGCGATGAACTCCGGTGAATGGCAAAGTGCGCCTCAACGCGTCGCGGTAGGAACGCAACCTCCGCCTTCTTCCCCGCAATGCCGCCGTTAGGACTCGAGCGGGTGAGCACGAGAAGGAATGAGAATTGCTAGCTTCCATCGACGTGCGTTCTGCTTGGTCAGCTCGCCGGTGGTCCTCCGAGTCAAGCGAGGCACGGTGGACATGGTCCTCCTCAACGCCGCTTCTTCACCTTCCCGAACCGCCACCACCGCTCCGGTGCACCGACGCGTCCTCATCGTCGTCTTCGAGAACGCGGGATCGAACTCCGCATGGCGCCTTCATGTTGAAGTAGCAATGAGAGCCGACGTACACCGGCCCTGGATGCCGTCCGGGCACTTCATGTCGATCTGAACCTCGGCGTCGTCCACAAAATCGGGTGTTGGTGTTACGCGACTCGGAGAGCGATGGCGGACAACGCTGCAGTGTGCAAGTAAAGCTTTGATCGCTTACGTCGAAGAAGACAGAGTCGCGAGTGGCATGCCACTCGCCACCGCCGCCCTCGACGCTGATCCTCGGCCGGAATCGGACGAAGCACGTCCCGTTCCGGCCTCGAGGTCCATGAGGAAGCACATTGCCTCCCTCGGGGCGCCATTGTATGGCGTCACGATGGTCGTGGTCCAGTGTTGAGCACGTCTGAGCCGTTCGTCGCCAGAGCGGACACCCGGTGGCGAACAAACAACTCGAGAAAACCATCGTGGGTTGCAAACAGAAACGACCCACGACGGCGACCAGGCGTTGAGGGCGCCAGACTTTCGTGTGATGCTAGAACCACGCTTCTTCTCCCGCGACACGTAGAAACGGTACCGGCAGCTCGTTCCCGCGGCGTCTGATCGTCCGGGGTGCCCAAGAAGAACTCGGACACCATGAATCAAACTCCATCGGATGTCTCGCTCGCTGGCACATTGGGGTGAGGTGCACTTTGTGCAAAGAGTCTTGAACTCTTGACTCAGTATCATGGCGGGATGGGTCTCTTGTGTTGTTCCCGGGCCACGGCGTGCCATCCGACATGACCCACCCGTCCTCCGGCACCTTCCTCGCCTTGGCGGCGAGGTAGTTCATCGACCTTCAGCTCCTCGTCGCCCTCGCAACATAGCCAATTACTCACGATCACCGGGGTCAATCTCTTCTGGCGACCTATGAGTGATGAGTGATCGATGACCTTCATGGCGCGGCGTTCCTTGACGAGCACGGCGGCGCGCCCTCCTGCCCTCGAGGTAGTCGACGCCACGAGCAAAGTACAGCCGGCGCCCTCGGCTCCACGGTGTGGCCGCCGAACGGCACCACCGCCCGCGCGAACCCGCGGCCTCGAACGGCATCATGTCGCGCCGTTGTCGTCGGAGACGTAGCGAGTCGACCTCCGCGCGCGGGTAGTCCGCCCGCGAGCACCGACAGACCGTGTTCGCCGTCGCCAGTGAGGCTCCGATGACGATACCAGCGCCCGCCCATTGCCACGCGAGCACGTCCACGCCGCCTAGCCGCGACGACGGCTCGCCATCCTCGACGTCCCCAATCGCCGTCGTCGTACCTTGATGCCACCTGCCGAGGTGCGTCTCGCGGTTGGTCGGGGACAGCTTCGGGAGTTGCGCGACGAGCCACGCGAGGGCGAGCCACAGCTCATAGACGAGCGCGGCCAGCCAGAGCTAGGGCGCCGCGCGCCGGGTGCGTGACGCGGTACCGGAAGAAGGCGCCGGGTGCGTAGGCGGGCGCGGACAGCTGTTTGACAAAATGCATTGCCAAGAGCCGCTTCAAAAGGACATGTCAGCAGGCCACGTCAGCATGAGAAGCCCGCGTGGCGGGATATGGACCTAAGTGATACGGCATACAAAGTTTATAGACCCAAAAAGCCACTTTGGAAGTTAATGGACCTAATCGAAACCTCCTCACAAGTTAATGGACCTCTGGTGCATTTAACTCTTATGAAAATATATCTCATGGTATATTAATGATACTAGTTTGACGCCATAAATATTTATGCTCTTTTAATATATTTGGTCAAACTTAAAAAAGTTTAGCTTCCGACAAGCATAGAAGTCGATTTATTTGTGACCGAGGCATTAATGTAAAATAGAATGTGATAAGTATTTTTTATCACAATAAATACTCCTGCTAAATTTGTGATAGACTGGTAAGGCATGGCACTACATTTGGCCATTCTCCTCATCGCCTGCTAGCCAAGTGGTCAACACCTTCTGCCACCTGGTACCTACTGTGATTTCTGGTCACAGATATATATTCAATGCTTATAAAAATGTGTGCACATAAGTTGGTACTCCAGTAACTAATGATTTTTCTGCATCACAAATTCTAGTTGACAGTTGACACAAGTTGAAGCTAGTCTTTCTGTATAAAATCCTTCTGCCACCCATCCCCATCTCACTCACATACATAGGACCTGAGTGAGAACAAAAGAATCCACCTTAAAAATGGCCATGGCAGCCGCCACCGCGACTGCCAGCATTTTGCTCTTTGCTCTCTTCTTCGCCGGAGCTCACGCCGAGCCGGCTGAGCTCCCATGCGCGCAACCCGCATGCAAGACGGTGGGCGGCGGGAGCCAGTTCTTCGACGTGCAGTTCTGCCTGGCGGCACTCGGCTCCGACGGCCGGAGCATCAGCCACTGCATGGACTACCAGGCCTACTCCGTCATCGCCGCTGACCTCCTCGCGGCCAACGTCACCGCCACGGCGGCCAAGATCGACGGCCTGCTCCGGGACAGCGGCGCCGGCGCCGGTGGCAGAGATGACGGTGGCGACGAGGCCACAGCGCGCTGCCTCCAGTCGTGCCAGGCGCTGTACGGCGGCACGGTGCGGAGGCAGCCCAGCTGCGCAGCCGCCGTCCGGGGCGTCAGGAAGGGCGAGGCGACGAGGTGCCTGGAGGAAGCCGCCGCCGCGGCCAAGCAGTGCGAGGACGGGTTCCGGAGGAGCAAGGTGGCGTCGCCGGTGACGGCGGAGAACCAGAACGCGTTCATGCTCGCCAAGCTCGCCGTCGCGCTGCTCGGCGAGGTCTATGCTAATAAATGAAGAGGGTTTCTTCGTAGTATATAGGGAGAAAATGTTGCTGTAGACTGCCGTTTTTTAGGGGAAAATCATAATAATAAAATGAGTGAAAAAACTATTAATTGAAAATGGCGTGACACAATACAAAGCAAAGAAAACCTGATGTGATTTTTATTTACTGCATCATGTTATTACACAATACAAAGCCCTGTGTTCAAGATGCTAACAACAACCCCTGTAGCTGCTGGCATTTGCGTATCACACCTTTTATATATACTCCTAGTGTAGAGTACCTGCCACCAGCCTAGCTCACATCTCGGCGACAAGTTTGGACTGAGCCAGGGCGAGATCGAACGAGCTGAAGGAGTGAGGAGCTAGCGTGACCTGCATCTCCCCTGCAGCATTGCTCAGATCGCTCTTCACCGGTACAACCTGCAGCGCAATTGTTCACCGCCAGGTTTCGCATTCAGATGGGATATCAGTAAACACAAGATTGAAATCGAAAACAGAGCGCAAACATGCTTTGAGGCATGTGATCATTCAGACACAGGTAATAAGCACAAACAAGGGGGCAAATTTACCTTGGTTGGGTTACTGAAGGAGTTTTCGTCCATCACATTTGCTGATGTGAGAACAGTGGCGGTTGATCCCAGAGCGTTGATACTGGCCTGGAGTCCACTCGTGGAGATTGTCAGGGTCACAGCATCTGACCCAAAGTTTATAACCTGCACAGGAGCTTTCTGAGATCAATACAAGTTTGTAGTTCCCTCATATGCAGGATGTATGCAAGGAAATTGTTTTACTTGCCTTTACTCTTAGGAAGCTGTTCTCCGAGTCCTGCCATGTAATCGCAGACGCTGCGAGCGAACCAGAGTAGCTGGAGCTGATTGTAGTTGGATGTAACATAGCACCACTCGACTCGCGGAAAAGCGTCTGCATCCAGTAACTAGGAGTGCCGTAATGTTGCCAGGAGTTGAAGACGATAGCGTCCGGGTTCCACCTGATTGATTTATCCCAACAGAACTATCACAATGTTGGATTGACAAGAACACAACGAGAAACAGTGGGAAAAGTGTAAGGCCATATGTACTAACGTTTGGTCATTGTTGTTTACGAACAGTGGCGCGTAACTTGCCATGTAAACAATGTCACTGCAAAGAAGAAAAACAAAGGTCATCAACTCACTGTAAAGGTTATCTTCGTAAAGAGACTAGAGCAGGCAGAATTCTGTCAGGTCATGTGACTCAACGAGCAAATATAACATCTAAAATTCATCTGCAAAGACTCGGGTTTGATCATCAGGTAACCTACAACTAACAATTTCAAAAAAGGAGAGATCACCTATTCTTCTCCAGTCCAGTAAGAAAAGCAGCTTCTGCTAATGAAGCAAGAAGACTTCCTCTACCTGCATCACCTCTCCAAACAGCGTACTCACTCACAAAAGCCTGCATTTGAATCATATCCAGAAGATATTTACTGTCAAAACAGAATATGGTGACGTCAATGTAACTAAGCAAGAAAATCAATGAAGTTCTTGACAGTCCCCAGAACATGGAAATAACATCACAGATCACATTGGCCCCACATATATGTGTTCCTCATTGTCAGTTAGGATCACAACTCACAACACCTAGAAGAATTGTATCCTCTCTATCTCTCTCAAGCGTTATGCACAAATATTCTACAAGAAAAAGAGGACTCATTTCATATTATCCTAAGAACATCCCAAGAGAAATGTCAAGAAATCCCAAATACAATGTAAATGCTACTCATGAAAGAGGGCTTCTTCACAAGAATCTTCATTGTGAAATCGAAACTTACCTTGGGCCCACTACGAGATGTTCTGTCAAATGTGCTCTTCATGTTGAACAAAGTCTTAGAATCAGTATAGACCTAGAAAAAAGAAGCACCACTGAAATTTAAGAGAAGGCAAATAAATAATTAAACAGAACTGCAGGATGAAGACAGAAAACTGAGACAAATAGACTTGCAGCAAGAACTTTACATGGAAGTCATATAAATCAGCAGGATGATCAAGTGGTGTAGATGAACCATCGCAGTTTGAAATCATTTGAATGTCTGGGTAGGCCTGTCTTATAGCATTGTAGAACTTCAAGTAGTTACCTGATCAACAAAAAATGAGAATATCATGCCATGAAACAAAAAGTAGGTTACAACAGATTTTAGCAAGTATTTTCAATGTTAACTACCACTGGGAGATATCTTCAATTTAATTAAGTTTCTTTGCTAGTGAAGAGAGGTTGGTTAGAAACTGCCAAAGGATGCACAAAAATGTAGATGGTAAATTTACCGCGGTAAAATTTTTTCCCACAATCTTCATTTCCAATCGCAACGTATTTCACTGGGAATGGTTCAGGGTGCCCCATTGCAGCCCTAACAGAGCCCCATGTTGAATTTGCACTCCCCCTTGCAAATTCTATACTGTCCAATACATCCTGTAGAAAGACAAACAGTTCCATAAAGAAGAAGCTACAATTATGAGTATAAAAACTACATAAGTCTATGAAAGATATAAGGTATCTTATTGAGTTTGGTGCTATTCATATAAACATAAAAGGTTAGTTCATGGATAATCTTGGTAAAACCGAATGTAAAACTCAAGCAAGCATCATCTCTGCATGTGAAGTTGTGACCTGAATTAAAAAGTAAAGGATCAAGTCCACCATAATATAGTTTTCAGCATTCTTGAAAAAGAAATAACTTTATAATTATTCAAAACTAATAATATGTAACTGTTCTCATCATGGACAATAAAGTTTTAAATCTTGAGATATGCTTACTTACTCACAAAAAAATGAAATGCTATTATAACATCTAATGTTCTGATATACAATGGTAATTTGCACCCATTGTTGAGAAAGTATGATGCTTTAAATTTGTGAAGACTCTTCTGCCTCTATACCAAGAAATGTTTAGTATGCTAGAGAAATAACTACGGAGTCAAAACATACCTTTACAAATGGAGTAATAGCAGCAGTATCAACTTCATCATTGTGGCTGACTCCTGAGTTACAAGAGGGAACTTTCTGTCAATTAAGAAGCCAACAGTGATAAAGGTTTAACAAACCTGAAAACAATTACCATTGTTGAATACCCAGATTGGCTCAGCATCCAGGTCCTCCGCAAGCTTTGATGTATTTTTCAGAGCTAATTGTTGTTAGTGAGGGCAACAACAGGGAAGGAAAGGTCGAATGGAAGCAGTTTAAACTGGCACCTGAAGAAATTCATAGTATCCAAGGCCATCATCAGTCCAGTAATGCCAAACATCCCCGAAGTGTCCAGGTCTCTCTTCCCATGGACCAATAGATTCTCTCCACCTAAAGGCATTTCTTAACCACTCACCTTCTACAAAGCAGCCTCCTACAATAGTATCATGCAATCTAGTCCATTATCTCTAAATGTATTAAGATATTGCAATATATCATATATGTCTTAGCATCAAGAACCTGAGTCTATCTAAATAAGAAAACACAGAGCATACCAGGAAATCTCAAGAATCGTGGTTTTAAATCCAAAATCATGGATATAAGTTCTGTGCGAAAGCCATGTCCCTGTGTGTATGCAGAGAAGCATTGTTGTTAAATACTCAGGTCAACCCTTGCATGACAAACATTGAGTAAACTAAACAGAAGAACCAACATATAAATTCAGCAAAACAGCCTATTGATCAGAAACATTTATTGGTGATTAGATTCATCAAACAAACCAAAGTAGTGAGCAGGATCTCTACTATTCCTGCTCTTAAAATATTGTTTCCAAGTGGCTGCCACTTGCACATGATCGAGGTAACCAGCCCAAGATTTCATGGAAATGTGACATAATTATTGTATATCTGAAAATAAATATTAGTTATTAATATTTCATACAGGTGTTTTATTGTTCTTATTTGTGTCTTCCACTATCGGAATCAAGAACAACAATGTAATATACCTTGTATGTGTCTTCAGGCATGAGTGATACTTGATCAAACCAGACAACTACTTTCTTGTTAGTTGTTATTTGAAGCCTTGAGGTTCTATTGGTTCCTTTAGCAACCAACTTTTGCTCCACTTTTGTCCAATTTGATTCGCCGGAAACTCTGCAGCAGTGCAATCCTTTCAGATATCGTGAGCAACCAAATATTGACACTTGTCCTGATACCGAGAAAAAGATACTAACGTTATTGTAGCTGAAGCCAGATTTTGCAACCCATCAGAGCTTGTTAGTGAAACTGTCAAGTCGGTTGCTTCTGGTGACTTAACATACATAACAAGATTGTAGGCCTTTCCATCTTCTATGTTCTGTAAGTTGAAAAAGGTAACATTATACAAAACATAAAAGTGGAAAAGGTAGGAAAAAAGAGCATGTACTGCAGATCTGTCTAATATCAGAACCTGAAAAATAACACTACCAGAACAATCCAAATAAAACAGTGGAGCTCTGACTGTTGTAATTCCTAACTCTGCTTCTACAGCTATATTGCTACTTTGCTTTTGGATATTGGCATTGCTAGTTACTTATGAAGTTATGATTAAACCAAATCCCGCAGCATCATTGCATTGCGCAATAACAAATATCATATAGATTATTGACATTAACTAAATAGTTTTTACGAAATTATCCTTTTGTCATACTGATCTGAACAGGCAACATATGATAAAAGTCATACCATGCCCCAGAACCCCGGGTTGTAAATACCAACACCACCAGTAGGACAGTTATCGCAAAGGACCTCCATCCTCAGAGCAATGATGTTTCGACTGAAACATGATGTCCGATCAGTCTCCACATATATAGAAGAGTCATCTCCAATGATGGACCATGGGTCAATGTTTGATGGAGTATGGAGGCCTCCAGCTTCAAACCCTGCAGCATAAATGCAGATGCTGTTTATGCATAAATCCAGGCTCGATATTTGGCAGAAGCTTCTGAAGGAAAAGGCCTATTATGATCTATTCAAGCTTGTCCTCGGAATAATTTTTGTATTTATCGTTTTCAGAATCTTTTAGAGTTACGCTCAAAACAAGGACATGTAAAATCAGGCATGGCTCGATTACCTCTGTTGCTAACAAGTTCAGCCCATATGCCACCAGCTCCTGCATGGTTGATCTCCTACAGTAACAGCAACCTTGTTATGCGAGAACACAGTAATGGAACACGGAGTGCATTTGGATTATTCCAGTTACATGTGATAAATCTTTTAGCAGATCAATAAGGCCGTTGTGTACCAAGAAATCACCGCCTCACCTCAAAGAATATTCCAAATAGTGTATCAGGGATCTTCTGAGCAAGCTGTGGCGAGGCATCGACCGCGAGGGTCACTGTCTGGGTGGCCTCTAATTCTGATGCCAGGCATTTGCAGCCTAAGCAGAGCAGAAACAAGAAACAGAGGATGGCACGAGGGACCGCATCCTTGCTGGTACCCATACGCTTCCACTTGTCAACTCTAGTTGAGCAGGTGTGTCTACCGAACACTTGAGAGAAGAAGGCAGATATAATCATAGGACATTAGAGTTAGGTGGAAACCGATAAGCACAAGCAACTCGAGTCTTGACACGTTCATCAGATTAGAAAACCGCTGCACCGCTATATATTACACACATATGCAATAACTACTAGATAGATGCCAGAACATTACACGTTTAAGCTACACCAGCACTCATCTGTGCGACTGAAATTAGAATGACGCTTATTGTTTCGTCATGCAGGAGATGTGCAGGCTGCAGGCACTTGGAATAAAAAAAGAAGAGCTGCCTTTATTTAAAACGGTGTAATTATTTCACCAGACAAAGCACAACTACGCAAAGATTAAGCATTTAGCAAAATTCTCCTGAGCTGGGCATTCCATCAAACAAGTCATGAGCCCCAAATCCGAATACAAAAAATAGGAGGAACACGAAAGACAGGGTCTTTAGAGGGTTTCTCACCATGCATCCACCATCCGAAGGAAGATGCGAGCTCCCAGGCTGCGAGTGCAGGGCAGGGCATAGGAGGAGGAGAGCCCGGGAGGCGTGCCCGCTCGCGCTTAAGTAGAGAAGGGCAGAGGAAGCGGTTAGCTGTGGCTTTGAAGGCAGGGAAGTGTGCCTGCGGCTGCGGGCTACGGAAGCCACGCAAGCGGTGTGTGCGGGGCGCGCGTCGGATTCTGATCGGGTCACGCCGCGGCGACGGACGGGGACGGCCGTACGGGAAAAAAAAGCGCCCAGGTCGCGGCGCGGCGCGGCCGCAGTTGCTTGCCGGAGCGGGCCACTTCGTTCGGCGGTGGCTGTCCTGTCTGTCGCCCGCGCGCGCCCACGGGCACGTGGGGCCCACCCCGCGCGTGACCCATCCCGTTCGGCTTACGTTAGCGCTGGCTTATTTATTTATTTTTTTCAGCCGGAATAATATTTTTCTCTAACAATATTTTAGATTTGGCTTATTTTTTCAGCCAAACGAACGGATCCGCTGTCAAAGTGTATATTTATTCACAGGTGCTAGTGGTACTGTTTATATTTTCGTTGATAATCATCGAAACGAGTAGTCGTCGTTAAGAAGGGTTTTGGCCTATTGCTTTACTTCTTTAAAAATAAAATAATTACATCACTGCATATATGAGATATGCTACCAAAACTGAATAAGCAAAAAACATATAAAACAGTTAATGTTAGATCAAATTATAGGAGAATGTGGCGGCCAAACAAATAGTACAACGTAGATGTTTGTTTGTGATAGGTTATAAATAGTAACTGTATTCAGTGGAAGATGACTTAGTATTTCTTAGGGAATAATGTGACACTAATGGAGTATGATACGTGCGATAACTTACATGTAGAGATTGGAAATAGTGAGGTTTGCTTTTATAAAAGACAATGACGAGCATATTTATAATTTACTGATATTGGTTTTGTTCATTAATAATCATAGAAAAGAGTCATCGTTGTCCCCGGAAGGACTTGTCCTGTTTGAGTCAATTAGTAGCCAATAATAATTAGTTAGCTAACACAGAGTTAGTTTCGAGATAAAATTAGCTGGCTAACATCAATTCACTTGCCTACCCATTCTTTCTAAGTCAAATTATCTTAAGTTTGACCAATTTTATAGAAAAGTGTAACAGCATCTGTGACACCAAATAAATATATTTCATGGTATATCTAGTGATATTAATCTGACGCTATAAATATTGGTGCTCTTTTCTATGAATTTGATAAAACTTTCAAATAGTTTAACTTAGGACATTTTTATAAATTGATTTAATTAGGAACGAAGAAAGGAAATATTAGTTTATACAAAATCTAAACTGGCTCAGCTTAATTTGCAGTGCAAATTAAATAAGTGGCACATGGCTAGTAGTGAGTGGGGTTGTACCTGCTAGCCAAAAAGCCAAAAAGTATGAAAGTGTCAACAAAACTATATGATCATTTTCCATCTCCCACGTTACTTTTTTATGTTGCATCGCACACATGGATGTTTTACTAATCTAGGAAAAAATGCAAGAGCACTTTATATCCTAGATCCAATAGGAATCTAGCCAAAAGCAACGACACTTTATGTCCTATTCAACAGTACGTACATGCACCTCACACAGATTGCAAGAAATATTGAAATGAAATAGGAAAACAAGCAAATAGGGGAAAAAAAAGGAACACATCTCGAGCTGGAGCGACTCTAAGGGTGAGTGGTTGTACTAAGGGATGCTTGGTTGGAAAGAATACTCATTATAATTATCTCATGGGTCAATTTGTCAAAGTTGGTGGAAAGAATACTCATTATAATTAACTTATCATGAATGAGGTGACGATGAATCAACTGCTCAATTCCAAATTTGTATTCTCATCTATATTCAAGAGTGTTTGCAAGGGTAGGATTAGTATTTACTCTGTACTTTATTTTTTTATAAAAATTGGGATACGTGCACGGCCAATAAATGAATTGTAAAGGATTGTATACAGTAGGCACCCAACGATCAAAGGGATCTAATAGGAATACTACATATAGGAACGTCTCCATCGGGTTTACGTCATCGAGTTTCACTTGGTGAAGCAAGCACTCAACACAAGAGATAGACGCACGGCAGCATCTATATTCAGGAGCACGCATGCACGCGTGCACTCCGACGAGTGAGCGCGGATGGAAGGGAATAATTCGGCGTTTTGCTGTCCATCATCATACTCATCACACTACTACATGGTGTGTACAAATGCCAATGCGTGACGCGATGGGCTTGCTTGTTGCTGCTGCATGCTTAGCGCCAAACATACGCAATGTATATAGTGCGTGCGATGCGAGCACCGTCGTCCGTCAGTCAGTCGATCTCGGTTCAACCGTAAGTGGACTACTCCGATCCAGCAGGGTAGTAGCCACGCCGCGCGTCGTCATTTCGGATCCTCGATCGACCGCATCGCATCGCATCGCAATCATAGCGATCCGATCCGGCCGTTTGCGTCGTCGTGGGAGCGCGCGCACGCACGTGCATCACTACTGTAGGTTGTACTACTATTTGGTTTTATTTTAAGAAGAGAAGAGTAACAGCAGTACAATTTAGACACAATTTGGACATATATAAGAGTTCTGATTGCTTTACAGTGAGGCTAGCGCCCGAAATTTTGGACGGGGACTGCCCCGCTCCTGCTGCGTCTGCCCGTGCCCTCGCATACGGATGCCCCTGTGCTCACCCGCACGCTACGCGCCGCTTCACGTGGGGGGTGGGGGATGCGCCGCTCCGCTTCCCACGCCTCGCATGCGCCCCATGCTGGGGCCGCATCTCGATCTATGCCCAAACACTTGCAGCGTCGTCAAAAATAGTTGAAACACTTACAATGCCTGAAACATCAGGAAAACACACGTGTAGCCATTGCAAAACATATGTAACATCCAAATGAAATACCTTGCAACATATATGTGTGAAACATACGCAACATCCAGATAAAAACACTTGCAACATACGTCTCAAAAGGCTGAAACATTTAGAACAATACAATTGCAACATACGTGTATAGCCATGGCAACATATGCAACATCCACATGAAACACTTGCAACATGCATATGAAACACTTGAAACATATGCTTGCAACGTGCGCTTTCAGCGTAACATCTTCTTATTGCTTGGACGAATCGAGGCTCGTCGACACGGAGCTCAACACTAGCACGATGCTCGATGCCACAGAGGTTGCCAGTTTGGAGAGCTTAGCGACGATGCGATGATCGATGTCGGCAACGCGGAGCTTGCCGGCAGCGTGGAGCTCGCCGGCAACACGGGGCTCTCCCGCGGTAGCGCGCGTGGAGCTTGTCACCGGTGCGCAGAGATAGGGTGGGGGTATGGCCGTGACACGTGCAGGACGGGTGGCTGCGCAAGTTCGAGACCGAGCAGAGATGCACAGGCTCCACGGCATCCTTCCTCTCCCCGTTGCTTTGAATGGAGAGATGGAGGAGAGAGAGAAGCGAGATGAAAGAGGATAAGTCTGACCACCTGACGAGAGTAGATATTTATGTGGTGGAAAAAATATGTGGACTATGTGAGGCCATGTTGCGCCGGTCATCCAGGCGCGGGAGGGACGTCCGCAGAGCATTACTGATTGGTTTACTCCGGTATATAATGTCATGACCCAGAACGTTTATAGGAGTAAGAATAACAACAACAAAATACATGGACCACGTGAGACCACGTAGCTAGCGTCGGCCGTCCACGCGCGGAATAGACGTCCGCGGTGGAGCATTACCGATTGATTTACTCCGATCTATAATGTCATGACCCCCAACATTTATAGGAGTAAGAATAACTTCGTCCGGTTGTGGCACGAAGTATAATTCAAAGGAAAGTTTTCCTTTTCTTATCTGCCACTAAAATTTTTCTTGGTTCACTATCTATCACTAAAAGCTTTTGAGCGTCCTACCTGCCATCCACCTTAACTTTTTTTTTATCCTATCCGCCACTTCCGTCTACTTTGGGCCCATATGACAGTGTGGTTGGCTTCTTATATAGGAAAAGTCGAAACTCTTAAACTCCGATTGGAGATGGCGGCAAATGGGAGGCTCGACTGGGCGGCGCTAGGGGCGGCAGAGGGGCAACATGACTCTATGGCGCAACAGGCAACAGCCGTGGTACGGCGTGGCTCAGCAGTGTCATGGCAGAGGGGCGGCTCGGCGAGCACTAGCAGGTGATGTGGCGTGGTTGGCCACACGAAGGGGTGGCTCGGTGGGTCGAGCTCGAGCATCTGGGCAGAGGGGGTGGCATGGCGAACCAGGCACCTGGACGGAGCAACGGGCGTGATGACATGAGAACATAAGCCCAAGCAAAATGCAATGACTCATGTCCTCCTCCGACAAATCGTTCTGATTAAGATGAAGCACTTTCAATTGCTTTGCTAAAATCCGGGCCTCCGCCAGTTCTTCAATAATCTTATAAGACGAGTAACAGTTTATCGATGAACTTCCACACTTCTTCTTTGTGGAGCAGACATGACACAACTCCGTTAATTGGTTATTTTCTGAAAGTAGCAGAATTACAGAAGATTGTTAAGCGTGTTCGGATGGTGCTATGCACAATAGATTTCGGATGGTTCCGGATGATTCAATAGTATTCTAAGCTGAAACAAGCTGAAATAAGCCAGGAAGTGACCAGCCGAACGCGGCGCATCTAACTTAATGTAGAGACATGCATATCTCCTCTAATACTACATTACGCGAGTTTGTGTTTGTAAACCAATTTTCAAATAAAATGTACTAATGTCCGCTTTACTTCTAAAAATATAATAAATCACGCGAAGTCACAAATTATCATTTTTTTATATAACAGATTATAATGTTGATCTAAGTGGTAAGCAAAAAACCCATATAAGGTTTTATAAGAGGAAGGACATCGGGTAACATGGTCATTTTCAGTCCCACTTAACATAAAAATCTTGACGAAAGTGGCAAATAGGACAAGAAAGTTAAAGTGGATGACAGATAGAGGAGTCAAAAAATATAGCTGTAGATAGGGAAGCAAGAAAACTTTTAGGTCTTGTTTGATACA